TTTTTTTTTTTTTTTCTGGAAGCATCCTGTATCTAAGCAAATCAGTAGCCCACTTGCGAAAATAACCTTATCCTCGTCTATCATAGCCACACTCAGGACCAGGCGGTGATGCTCAACACATACCAAAAACATCTCGAAAAAGCTAAAGCTTTGCCGAGTGCTTCTGTCAAAAAAATCATTTGAGATGTTAATCTCCTTGGGGGAAAAAAAGAAAACCTGGACTGCCATTACAGTGACACCAGTAGTCGATCCAGCATAGATCAGAGTAACCGGACAAGTTACGGGTCAGCAGGCAGTGAACCTACAGCCGGTCCAAGTATTCCAGGTACATTTCAAATTTGCCGAATCACACATGGTACCGGCCAAAAATAAAATTATACGACTACATGATGATTTCTACCAGAAGATAGCCTAAACTATCACTTAGCAAAACAAACCTGTCAATGCTATTCAAAATTTTACAGGGCTGCTCTGGTACCCCGTTTTCACTGAGTGGTAGCCAAGTTAAAATTGTATCCTCTACACTACACATACCGTAATGCATGAGTGTTAGCACTCGACGACGCTGGCTAGAGTTGGCAAAAACATTTCACACATTAGTTTTGCGTTGAAAACAAGATTTTAAAAAAGTTAATAGGAACGCCGCAAATCGTTTTTTTTTCAGCTTTTATAAGTGATAAACACAGCAGATCATTTTCCGATAATTTTGTTCTAGTAGATAGGCTTCCTCCTTCATCGACTAAATAGTCTTGTAAAATCCTTAAATTTTTTTCAACTTTTTGTTGGATTTCCGCTTTCTCGTTTTCCATTTACAGTTAAGGGATGAAATACAGACTGCAAACTTTCCTGATCCATTAGAATGTCTGAATTTTCATTTTTGCAAATTCACAATAGCCTATTGTGCAAGTGAAAGCAATAACACAATATTACACTTAATCCAAATTTTTAAAACCAGCTCACTGTAAAAATTACTCAGAAGTCAAAACCTTTACATTTTCGGTTTTCTATGAAAGATGCAGACAGCCGGCAGTACCGCCAGTGGTGGCACACTGCTAAGAGCAACCACTCGTTAGCAAAGCCGTTCACGGCTCTCTTTTTGCTGTTATTGAAAACAGACGCATATGCTGGATTAGTGCATTTACACACATTTTCACTCTCGCGTACCGCTACTCTTCAAAACTTCTGAAGAAAACTTGAACTATTCTGCTAATTTCGGAAATGTAATTTATTTCGAATTTTTCATTTATGGTAGAAGGATATAACACTGAAAGGCAACGCCAATCATCCTTTTCCTCAACTTCAATTTTTTCAGTAATCAAGAAGAATACTGAGTGTCTGCGCTAAAGTTTTTTTCCCATCAAATTTTTTTAATCTGAGTTCGAAACTGAAGAGCTGGATAAATGAATCTTACCTAATAGCCGGTGCTTCTGAAAGCTGATTCTCATCGAACGATGTCTGCTTTGATCGCGATGAGGCATCATCTTCCTCGGTACTATGCTTGAAGGCGGATAACAGTGACCGTCCTAGAGATCTCTAAAGCAAATGCTGGCATTCTTTGAATAAAAATCATGAATGGCCCGAAACTGCACCTTCAACTAATTCATATGGTAAAATCACGAATTTTCTAAAAAGGCGTATCTTCATTTAACTCACAAGATTTCCCTTGAGATCTTTTAATGTTCACGGATTTATAAGAAAACCAGGTTGTAACAGAAACTTTTTTAATTTTTTAATGGTATTTAAAAAATCTAAAAACTAAGCTGCATTCTTCCCATAAGCGTTAGTTAAGTGTTTTTTACTGTGCTCTGGTCATAGGTAAATACAGGTTGATGTTGCAAATGAAATACTGGGAAAACAGTTCAGAAAAAAGGGACTGCCATGGCTGAATATGAACCAACCGCGTCAGTGTCCCAAACTGATAATTCACTCTTTTTAGTGGACATAATGAAGCTTGCCTTATTTTCCTTGGTGTCATCGCTGAATTCCTTCGGTATGGTTGGATGTCGGATAATAACCATTGGTGACGAAGCTTCTGCAATTCGCGCCTCAATATCCCGCACATTGAGCATAAGCGATTCTTTATCTCTGAAAAAGCACTTTAATTCTGCGCTTTTAAAAACGATGTTAAACCTTTTAAAAATCCTGAAATTTCTGGCGTCCGTAATGCAGCATCTCTGAATAAATTCAGCAGGATATTAATTGATAATTTTCATTGTAAGAAAAAACATGTTAATGGAACTGTTGAAGAGTTGTGCTGGTCCGATTCTCTAACTCGAACATATGGAGCACAAAAAACGCTAAAAGCCCAAGACCGAATCTGAATGTATAGCTGTAGGATACATTACTAGAGGATATTGCTAATATGAAATAGAGATGAACTTGTGGCCGTTTCGAATAAGCATGTTTCACTATATTTTTCACTGTAAAAATTTATCAAGTCATTTGGAGCATGCTAATGAGTTTCGTACATTAGCACTCTGAGCAAGCAATCCCTTCCTTTCTTCTTCTGCTTTTGTAATTCGTTTCGATGGTAAACTGACAATATCATACACCTGCATATTGTTTTTAAGAACTCAAGGAACATGCAGAAATGGAGATTTTTATCAGTGAACGACAGTTGCTGACAGTGTGTTATTATCTTTTTTACTGTTATTCACTGGTATGTCAATGGCTTTTTCTTTTCTTAAAGCTATATTTAAAAATTTATAATATTTTTTTCAGTTGAAATTCCTGGAATTAAATTCGTACTTGCTTTTTAAAAGCTTATCATTGCATTTCACTGGTAGCGATAGCCGGATGAATTCCATTTTGGCTTTTTCCTGCGATGAAGTGTCACCGGTATCGATCTGAACCAGAAAATTTTTGATCACTTATTAATGACTGAATTGTTTAGCAAAAAAATTCGTTAGCTTTCAAGAGCTGGTATGCGGCAAAGCATTGATAAGAAGAATTAACTGCAAGAAGAAACTCTCTACGATGATCGAAAATGGAAGGCAAACATCCGTCCAAATGGCAGTTGCTTTCCGTCTTTCAGTCACAGCTGGAAATTTCAGTTGCGCCCGTTACAGTATGGATCTGGAGGCCTTAGCTCCACAATAGTTTTTAAGGTTTCCTTCTTCAAAAATCGAGAAAAGGACTAGTAAACGAAAGCATTCACAATTTGAAGCTCAGAAAATAAAATGGCGAATCTCCTCGCCATTTCAGCTCCGCTTTTTTGTGAGAGGCGGAGGCACTCAAAAAGTATTCGGAGGTAAATTTTGGAGGTAGCGTGCGTCAACTAGCCGAAAGCATATTCCCTGGTGGTTCCTCTTTCAAGGATTGCTTGCCCGTATGGGATTATCCCTGTAACATAACATGGCATTTTTACAATGATTATCCTAAGCTGTTTTGGTATTCTTGGTACCTGTGTAACTATCTAGAATTCTCTTCTTGGCAATTAAACGTATTGACTAGTTCTGTGTGCATTCCAAACTTACTGGACAAGTGCTGGGTGTACTTGTTTGCCGAAATCAGACCGGATTAAGCTTCAGCCGCGCTCCAATCATAGCGTAATATACAAATAACATCTTGTGAAGGCAAAAAAAGACTATCAGAAAAAGGCGAGAAAAAAAACCGGATTTTGATAAAAACAATTGCACTCGAAATTTACATCTTTCTGTGTAATCTTCAGACAGGGCGGACTATTTCCCGTTGCTGGAATTCGTGAAACTTCCATCGTTGAGTCTGGCCCGATATCTTCAAACTGGGGATGTCTTTTAGCATACCACATTGGCATTTGTCGGTACATATTTCTGAAAAATTACAGTGAGTTCTCATCAGCACGGGCTGCATAAAGGGTAAGAAATTTCATCCAGACGTCAGCAGAATGAAGGAACACTGGTTCTAGCAGAAAAGGTTCCAACTTCAAATTAAACTGATGTTATTTGCAAAATTTTGAACCTAAAAAAGCCATAAAATTTAATTCCTTATGCTAAAATCAAATTTCAGCGTTAAATTTCATACATTTAGTCCAAAACTATGCGGGCTTTCACAGTCACTATTTTGAATATCAGATTTAGAAAGAAAAGGTTGAGAAAGAATAAAGGATTCTAATTTTTCTCGATTTATGACCACAGCACGAAATCAGAGGACTTTAGGGACAAAATCACGACTTTACACGTTCACAAATGTCGGATGAGTCAAAAAGTCATCATACCTGCTTCACTTTTTGTTTGCACTGGTACTGCCTAACAGTTACGTAAAGCTAACTCAAAATTCCCTCTTCATGAGGGGAGAAGGAGCTCGAAAGCATTTCGAGAGTAGCAATTACTAACAGCAATTACGTGATAGCAAAACTTCTCACATTAACTATTTTCGTGAAAGTACGTCTGTTAAGGCCCCATAATACGAGTTATTCCTACGAATTTTTTGCTAAGAAGTAATAGTTCATCAGTGATCAACTTACACGCAGAATGGTTCATATCCTTCTTGTAAACCACATGTTGTAAAATATTTCAAACTGTTCGAATCTTGACCAAAATTCAGTCGAGCTTTTTGACCTGCGCCAAGCGTCATCGCGGGAACAAATCCATCAGCAGCAATAACATTATCAAAGGCCATTTCTGAGCCGGATAACGGATCCTGAAAGATAAACTGCATAAGATCATTCATATTATTTCGCTGCCTGCGCAGTTATATTTGATCTCACTTTTTTCAACTGGATGAATTCAACAGTTGCTGGGCTACCTTCAGTTCAATTATAAATAGCTACGCATCAAAACTGCTAGGCCCGACATCATAAAGCTTGTGCTTCCATCTGCCATTTCTACTAAGCAAACTTTTCTTACCGAAACTTTTTGATTCAAGGCTTTTCCTACCATTTAGCTTGAACACCGATATCAAGCTCTGGCTTTCAGTAAGCTATCAGTTAGTTCTGTCCAGTGAGCTCTGTTTTCTCTCAAGAGCATGCGATATCGCGCATATTGATCTTTGGGTCCATCATAATATCAAAAATACTTTTTATTGCCGTGAATGGAGTTCCTTTTCAAACATGACTGTGGATCGGTAGGGAATCGAACCACTCTTCACATTCGGACGCGTCATACTATCTAGTACACCACCGGAACTTGTCCTCTGGATCTAGCCTGATAGCACATCTGTTGTGTATCTGCCTTCTAATGCAGAATACATCCTTCTTTTCTTGTCTGCCTCATATGGATGGTACAAATAATTCTCTTTGCGGAGACTTCTTCTTTGCTGACGTTACAGTTGCTGTAGGCATTGTTATCTGCTTCTTTTAAAGCTTAAAACCGTTACTATATTGTTATCATTACAAGCTTTTTGTTAATAACATAATCAATCGAAGCTTACCAAAAGGAGTTCACCATTCAGTGAGAAAGATATTGTTCGGTCGTTCAAATCCAGAAATGCACCAACAATATCGCCAACTTTCCATTCTCTCCCGTACGGTTCCGCTCCTTGATGCCACTTACGCATTAGGTAACTACAGATTTAAAATGATTTTAATAATTATCCTTTCTAGTGATCTGATTCAAAGCTAACCACCACGAGGTGCATCATCGATGAAATGAAACGAATAAGAAACCCAGGCTGGAACGCACCGGGCGGGCCTGTGCGATCATGCGTTTTTGCACCGGACTTGAAT